AGATCTCAGGGATGAACCCCTTCCCCCCCCGGGGTTCTGAGCCCCCCCAGCCGCTCCCCACAGCTGCTCACCAGTCGATGTCAATGCCAGCAGCAATCATGAGTCTGTGCAGAGCAACCGTGCCCAGCAGCAGCCCCAGGGACGTGGCAGCAAAGAAACCCAGAGAGCGCGTGGCCGGGGTGCGAGCCTGCAGCCCCCAGCCCAGGGCAGCTCCTGCGGGGAGAGCAGAGACGGGTTGGGGGGATTTGAGGACAGATGTGGGGGGCGCCTGGAGGGGATGGGAGGGGGGGGACCCTCACCCTGCTCACCTGCCACAATGCCACCGAGCACCTGGTGGGGAAAGTGAGCGAGGACAAAGACCCGTGAGAGGCCCACGGCCAGCAGCAGCAGCGTGTAGGCACTGAAGGGGATCAGCTTCAGCACCAGGCTGCAAGAGGTGAGCTGGGTGAGCGGATCCACAGCAGCCAGAGTTGCGTTCCCCATCCAGCCCAGCAGAAAGAGCCCTGCAGTGCATCTCCCTCTTCCCCCCCCAGAAATGCCTTCTGGGGACTCCAGAAGTGCCCCAGCTCTCACCTCTTGGAGTGTCGGGATGCCAATGCTGTCAGTGCAGTCACCAGCGGCCACAGTGCTGCCCCAGTGATCATGCAGTGGCCAGAGGGGCTGCCTGCAAAGCACGAGATGCTCAAATAGGGGAGCAAGGAGCCCTGCAAGCCCCTAAAACCAAGAGGCACAGAGCTGTGGGGGCCTTCAGAAAAGAAGCCCGGTGCAGACTGCCTCATGGGTCTGCTGGCCCCAGAGCTGTGCCAGCCCATCCTGTTCCCTGCTGGTCACTTCTCAGCTGTGCTGCCAACTCCTGGCTGCCCCATCCCGCCAGCACTGGGATCCCCAGGCTGCCCAGCCCACCTCTGCGCTGCCAGGGAGGAAGGCGGGACCCGGAGTATTTCCTCACAGAGCAAGAGAGTCAATAAATCTGTCGTACAGACGGGGAACTGATGCAGGAAACGCTTTCCCCAGTGCCAGCTTGGCAGGAAGGGCTCTCACCGTCCTGCTTATGCTAAGCACTGACACAAGGAGCCCCTGGGTGCCCCTTGAAGCCAGCAGCCCGGTGTTGTACACTTCCTTGCATGCTTTCAGTTCCACACTCTCTCTGCTGTGTCCCTGGAGTCACCAGGATGGAACCCCACGGTGCTCTGCAGGGACACACACAGCTCACCTGGTCCCGTTTCGCAGCTGACGGGGAACTGACGCAGTGTGAGTGGCTGCTGGCTGGCAAAGCCCGACTCATGGATCCACCAGAACGGGCGTTCCCCAAATAAAAACCTGAGAGGGAGGGACAGAGCAGAGCAGTGAACGGATGCAGCCCAAAGCCTCAGCGCCCCACACGGCCCCTGAGGGTTTGGGGGCTGCGGGCAGCAGCAGGAGGGCGGCTGTGGGGCCGTGGATCCCCCAGCCCTGCAGGACCCAGCGGCACAGGCTGTGCTCTCACCATTTGAAGACCACGTTGAGCCACTCGGCCACCAGCCCGACCCACAGCACTGCCACCCCCACCTTGCGGTCGAGGAAATAGGCGAGCGGGAAGCACACGGTGAAGATGCATTTGGGGTCGGCCACGGAGGTGATGGTGAGCCAAAAGTTTTCCAGCCATGGAGGCCCGGCCTGCAGCAACTCAGCGACGTGGATCCCAGAGATGTGTAGGGCCTCCATGGTGTGGGCTGTGGGGAGGGAGTGAGTCAGGGAGGGGTCCTGGGTGGGGGGAGGATGGGGGTGGGATGGAGGGAGGGGTGAGGGTGGGGATGAGATGGGGAATGGGGTGGAGATGGGGATGATGGGGATGGGTAGAGGAAGAAGATGGACGGGGATGCAGAGAATGGGATGGGGATGGGAATGGTGGGGATAGGATGGGGAGTGGGAATGGATATCGGGATGAGGATAATGGGGACGGGATGGGGGAGGGATGGAGGGAGGGGTGGAGATGGGAAATGGGGATGGAGGTGGGGATGGGAATGGGATGGGGATAACGGGGACGATGGGGATGGAGAGAGGAAGGGGATGGAGAGAGGAAAACGGATAACGGGCTGGCGGGCACAAAGGCACCGCACGGGAGAGGCTCGGTGCGGACACCCGGGGGCCGAGCCGCGCAGCCCTGGGCACAGCGCAGAGATGGGGGCCCCCCGAAGGACCCGCAGAGCGACCCGTCAGCCCTCTCCCCGCTCAAGGAACCCCGCATCGGGCCGTTACGGCTCGGGGAGGCAGCAGGCGGATCTCGGGCCGGCCTAGGAGCTCGCAG